TACTGATCTATTCCGCATCCGTGCTATTTTCATCTAATGTTACCACAGCCTGTTGGTTGAAATAGAGATTTCTCACTATGTTAATATCATTTTTGGCGTGTTCTTTTCTCTTTTCATCAGAATGTTATGTTTAACTTTGTCGAAAGCTTTCACATAGTTTATAAATGCGGCGAAAAGATCTTTTTATTGGTCTCGACATTTTTGAGCAAGAGTTGTGAAACTATACAGAGCTTCTGCTGTTCCGAAGCCATTAAGAAAGCCAACTGTCTACTACTTATATCCGCTTCACCCTTTTTAAATATTCTTGCATATATAACATTTAAAAATGTTTTCAATAGTTGTGACATTAGGCTGATTAATCTATAGTCATTACAATGTCTGAGATTCTTAGTTTTTTGTAGCGGAACAAAGGTCGATAGTATTTCTGTAAGTATCTCACCATATCTGTACATGTTGTTAAAGTTAGTTATTGCACTTAAATTTTCTTTATCTGTCTAAGTCTAATCAGCTCGATATAAACTTTATGTGGACCAGAAGCTCTGTCAGATTTTGAGTTGTTTATAGCATGTTGGACTTCAAATTTTCACATTATTAAAGCTTTTTCGGTATCAATTTGTATTGGTTCCATTCAGGTGTCCATGAAAAGATCTTACTATATTTGGTCTATTAGTTCTGTGTTCTACTATTAGTATATTTTCTTTTTGTTCCATGATTTTCAGTGTTTCTTGAGTCATCTAAGGTTTTTGGCTTTATTCTTTCTTGTGTAAACTTTCGTTCTGTGTCTTTATAACAGAATCTTTAATTTTTTTCACATAATGTTCACATTATAATTGTCTCAGTCTACAAGCAGGCAAAATCACCTAATCCTGGAATCCCTAAGATTAATTGCTTATTGTACCATATTAAAATAAAATCATATACAATAATCGAGTTTACCGATCGAAACACAATACCTCTAATATCATATCAACAATGCTAAGAAATTTCAAAAACTAGGCTGATTGATGAGCTTGAAAGTACACCTTATAATTTTTCATTTAGATTATTTCTCAGAAGATGTAGCATTCAGTGAAGAGATGAAAGAGCGATTTCACCAAAAGTTAAGCAGAAAGATCGTCATTTTCTTGATAATTAAGATATATGATTGATGGCAGATTACTGCTGGTCACTTAACAGAGATGACGTTTCAGTTGAACACACTCAAACGATTGTTTGAATTAAAGCGAGATAGATTTTATAAATGGGTAGCTGGTAGGAACTCTTCGGACAGTCCTATCAGGGAAGAGGAATCGTTCCCTGCCCTCCGCAGATTCCAGGGGTTTTCTGACCCGGGAAACTAGCACCTGTTTAGGATCCCTTGTCCAGGGTTACGGATGAAGACCACAACGGCAGACACGGCGGAGAAGAAAACCTTCGGTTCGGTGTGGACGGCGGAAGTGGCAATCTCGTGATTTTAGGGATGGTATAAAATCAAGCAACGTCTGATCCAGAATGGACGACTGGAAACAGCGTCTGACTCCAGGTTAGGAGCGGCTGAAATCTAAACTCGCCAACCCACTCGGCAAGCGTGGCGTTTTAATTGCCATTTTCCCTTCAATACATTCATGCATAAATCGAGATTCAAAAATATAGTACCCCAGGTGGGTACAGTTTATAACTCAGAATTCCACTCCAATATGGACTGCCTCACGGATTCTGGGGGATACAGAAGATCGAAAATACAGGACAAAAATAAACAAATTAATTCTCAAAAATTTTAATTGCTACATACAACATTAGAACCATGAGAACGAACGACCATCTAGAGGAATTAGAGCAGGAACTAGGGGCTATTAAATGGGATATTGTAAGCTTATGTGAAACGAGACTTCAAGGACAGCAAAAGACCACCCTAAAATGTTGGCACACTCTATACCAATATAATTCAGAAGAGAACCACGGCCAAGGAGGAGTGGCTTTCATGATCAACCGAAGAATAGAACACTAGATTGTGAAATACTCAGCAGTATCGGAAAGACACTGGTGTATTAAAACTGAATAAACGATATAGCTTACAGATAATACACTGCTATGCTCCAACTTCCACTGCGGATGACGAGTCAATAGAACAACTCTACGAAGATATAACGCGAGATAAAGACCTAGAAAAAACACACTATGTTATCATCACCGGAGATTTTAATGCAAAAATAGGGCGGCGAATACCAGGCGACTCAGACTACAGAGGAAATTTCGGTCTAGGTAACAGAAACACCAGAGGAGAGACATTAACAAATTACGTAAGCACCGAAAAAATGTTTTGCCTGAACACGTTCTATAAAAAACAAATACAAAGAAAGTGGACATGGCGTAGCCCTGACGGTTAGGTTAAGAATGAAATAGATTTTATCCTTTCCAGTGATAGATCAATATGTAAAAACATCGAGGTATTGAATAAATTTAACACTGACAGTGGCCATAGACTAGTTCGTGCTGATATACGTATTAACGTAAAGAGAGAAAGACGGAAACTATTAACAACAAACCCTTTACCGACGGCAGATATCCTAGCCAGTAATAAAGAGAAATACCAAGAGGAATTAGCACGGAAACTAGTAGCAAATACCTTTGAGCACAAGAATATAGATGAACTAGCTGAAAAAATAACTAAAGACATACAAACAGTCACTAAGAAACTTATTTGCAAAATAAAAAAACAAAAAGAAGCTAAACTAAAACCCGAGGCTCTAGAACAGATAGAGAAAAGAAGAAGAACGAACTGAGATAACCCGGACTACAAAGCGCTCAACAAAAGCGTTAAGAAAAATATTCGAAAAGACCTCAGAGCTTAAGAACAAACCAGATTCTTGAAGCCATAGAGAACAATAAGAACATGAAAGTACTGAAAACATGTAAATCCATTGGCAGCAATAAAATCATAAAGATAAAAGACGACCGTGGAACATTGTGCTCGCATAACGAAGAGATCGTTAGAGAAATCCGAAAAAATTCTATGAGAAGCTATATACTTCTACTATTCCGAACCCTGGTATACCAACAAAATATATCTTAAATGTGGGCTCAGAAGATCTCCCTGAAATTAGAACCGCCCTAAAACAAATGAAAAATGGGAAAACACCAGGAGAAGATAAAATTACTTCGGAGATGCTAAAAATGGGAGGCACTGCATTATAAAAGACAATGCGAGCATTACTAAATAAATGCCCATTGGAAGGAAAAATACCAAAGACATGGAAAATGCGGAAGTCATTCTACTCAATAAAAAAGGGGACGCCGCAAATATAAAAAACTACCGACCAATAAGCTTATTGTCAAACCTATACAAACTACTAACCCGAATAATAACAAATAGATTGACAGCTAAACTAGATGCATACCAACCAGTGGAGCAAACAGGCTTTCGTAAGGGTTTTAGCACTATCGATCACTTGCAAACAATCCGGACAGTTATTGAAAAAACAATAGAGTACAACATACCACTACATCTGGCATTAGTCGATTATCACAAAGCATTCGACAGTATAGAGAAATGGGCTTTCTTAACAGCATTGGACGACAAAGTAGATTCAAGATATGCTGCCCTCCTTAAGAATATATACGATGATGCTACTTTTCACGTAAAAATAGATGATGATCTGGAAACTATGAAAATAGACCTTGGCAAAGGTGTGAGAGAGGGCGACACCATCTCACCCAAATTATTTACTTTGGCATTAGAAAATGTTTTTAAAAAAACTAAATTGGGCCGAAAAGGGATTAAAAGTAGATGCAGTATATCTTAACCATTTGCGTTTCGCAGACGACATAGTACTAATAAGCACAGATATCCATGAACTGAAATCAATGCTACAAGATTCGAATCAAATAGGATTAAAAATGAATCTCGACAAAACAAAGATATTAAGGAACAACCTAGAAAACAACACGATAGATAACATCAATATAGAAAAGGTAGTCCAATATATATATATATATATATATACAACAATATATATATATATATATATATATATATATATATATATATCTAGGACATTCAATTAAAAACGAAAGGAAAACCAAACCCTAGAAATTAAAAGAAGGACACAATTGTCATGGGCTGCTTTTGGTAAGCTGAGCTTCATTTTAAAAGACAAAAAAATCCCAATTCACTTAAAACGAAAAACCTATGACACTTGTATACTACCAGTTGCAACTTATGGGTTGGAAACTACGACAGTAACAACAAAAATGGCAGAACAATTAAGAGTAACTTAACGGGCCATGGAGAGGGTCATGTTAAATATAAGCCTCAGAGACAAAATTCTTAGCACCGAAATACGTCGAAGAACTAAAGTAACCGACATCATGGGAAAAATAGCGACATTGAGATGGCAATGGGTAGCACATGTAGCAAGACGACAAGACACCAACAGATGGTCTCATAAAGTGACATTCTGGAAACCTCGAGAAACAAGAAGAAGCGTAGGAAGACCCGAAAAGAGATGGATAGACGATAATATAACAGCTGTAGCTGGAAAACAGTGGATGAGAATTGCAAAAGATAGGGAAGCGTGGAAGCAATTAGAGGAGGCCTATGTCCAACAATGGATAAATGAAGCTGAAGAAGAAGAAGAAGATTTTATAAAAAAAAATAAACCTTAATTTATACCCATTCTTATAATTTACTCATCCCTATTTGAAAGAGAAAGACTTATATAAGGTGTTTGCGTATTATTTTAAGATCGAAAAAATTAACGGGCCTAGATAAAGTTAAAAATTGCAAAAACGGCTATTTTTGCACATTTAGGTTAGGATATCTCAGAGCCAATTTGGAGCTCAGAGAAGTATACTCTGTTACCTGGGTAACAGGCTCATCGGCATGTGTTATTGTAACATCTTTATATTTTAATCTACGTTAAATGCACCTTAGGCTTCTCCGTAATATTTTTTTAATAAAACTTCATTTTGCCAGATTCTATAAAAATATTTGATAGACATTTAATAAAAACACTGTTTCCCATTAGAGGCCTTTATTTTAATTACTTTATTTTATGATTAATGATTTAATACACGAACCTAATTTTGAGCTTTATCACATTCTGATACAGATTCACAAATAAAATATTGGTTTTCGTGACAATTCATATCATTCCAGGATTTCAGTCCTTTAAAATAATCAAACACCAAACAATTTTCATCCCTCTTTCTATCAAGACTTAAGCCTGAAGGTTCACCGTCGGCCCAATTAGTGTATTCTAAAGGTTGACCCGTTGATAACCAAACCCACTGATTGTCTCCAACTAGTTTCGTACCTGATGTCCAGTATATTCCTGTTAAAACACCTAAAATAATTTAAATAATAAAATATATAAAATTATTTTATTTTAATAGATATGTATACAATGAATTTCATGTATTAATAAAAAGAGCAATGAGTAATTTTTGTTTAGTTATTAATATTAAAAAGGAGACAATGATAAACACTATCAGAAAATCCTGTGTGTAGTGTTTTGATAGAAATGTTAGTGCTAATGTTATCGAAATAAAGTGCTTTAGAAAATAATTGAAGGAGTCAGTGCAAAAAGTAGCTAAATGCATATTTTTCTATAATTGAGTTAAGTGCGTGGCACCCTCCTCATGAGACGCATGCGGGCGCCTCCTTAAAAGCATTGATTATAAACCACTACTTAGATAGTTCACCTCGTGGTAACCGAAAGACGTATCAAAAACTAGATGGCGTTACTCGAAAACCGTATCGAGATTCTCATTCTCTCTCTGACTTGCGAGGAGATAGGAGTGGTGTCAGAGCCGAAGTGTATTATCTGTGTGAAGTGTTGTGACAGGTTATAGCGAAATTTTATAAAAAAAGGACTCACATTTTAGATAAAATGGCCAGTGTAGCGCATAAATGTGTTTACGCGGGATGTTTTGAAAGAAACGATGGAACAAATAATAATATATCTTTCTTTAAATTTCCCCTGAAAGACGTAGAGCGCACAAAAATTTGGCAAAAAAACTGCGGGAATATTGATATTATATTGATGAATATCAGTGACCTAAAACAGAGGGTAATTTGCTAACATCATTTTGCAGTGGAACATTTTTATAGCACTTTTATATAAATATGTACGTTTCCTCAGAAAATTCTCGACTTTTAATAATAAAATGTTTCGATATTGTCAATAATGAAAGTACTTCTTGAGAACAAGAAATAATAAATATTTTTTTCCTAAAATTTTAATTTTATAATCTTAGTTTGAAAAGAATTAACATTCAAATATACTTATTTACTTTGTTTTGAAATATGATTTAATTAGTGATGTTTTAAACTTTCTAATCCTGTCCGATTATCCTATCTTCCTATGATAGGATGAATAGATGGCCCTCATCTATTTATGTATTCGAAACTCCCTGTCATTTTATCAAGATATGTACTTACTTTATTCATTTTTAACGTTGGTAATTTGTGGTATTTTGTTAAAGTCAAAATCGATTGCATTTGGTACTCACCACTACTTGCTTTTAAAACCTCGATGACGTAATTCCAGAAAGTCCTCAGAAAATTTTTTAATGTAAAAAGTATGCGCGATCGAACAGTAGATCATAGTGATTTTAGTTCACCTCTATACAATTTCTTATTTTGCACAGAATATAATTGACTTCTATATTGCCATTTCTAGATAAATTGTCAATTTTTTGTAGTACAATGTTACTATTAGAACAAAGTTGATATCCTATTCTTGTCGAAGTTCCTTCTCCTATCGAAGGTTGGCCATCACCACAGCTATCCGTACTTTATTGGCGGCTGCTCTGAAAAGATCTATTGAGCTGCAACTATACCATTCTCTTTCTCAGCCATGAAATTCTTTCTCTACCTATGGATCTTTTACCCTTAATTTTACATTGCATTTTAAGCTTTTCGTACCTTCGGTAATGTGACCTAAATATTCCAGCTTTCTTGTTGATGTTGATGTTCTTTATCACATTGCAATCCTTTTGTAACATTGTAACCTTAACACTTTTGCATTTGTAACTCGTTAGATTCAGGTATTTTCAAAATTCCTCTATAGCACCACAACTCAAATGCTTCCAACTTCTGTATATTGTCTACTTTTAGCGTATATCTTTCCATTCCATGTATCAAAGTCGAGAACACGTAGCAACTTAATGCGCTTATCCTCAGCTCCAGAGGAAGATCTTGATTTTGTTCTGAAGCTATTTTCTTGTGGCAGTATTGCAATTAACTAGTTTTGATAAGAAATAAGCCACAATTTTACTAAAAAATGATTTTATTTACGTTTCGACGCCCAAATCGGGTGTCGTTGTCAAAATACAAAAATTATTAATGAATTAAATAAAAATGATGTTGCTTAGTAAAAAAATTCTTATAATAATTTATTTAATGTGACTCATTTATATCGGCAATGAGGTTTTGCAATATTTTACCGTGAGTGAATGGACTAAATCTGGAAATAAATTATGTATATTAGCTTGAAATATTTTAGTTTGCATCAGTTCTGGAAATTAATTTGTTTGAAAAGTTACAAAAAAGTAATTTACATGAGATGTATTTTATCACTGCTAATTTTATTATGTATTTTATATTTTGATATTTTTTTGTATTGTGTTGATAAATAAATAATTTTTAGAAAACCTTTACTGTTTTCATTCTTATATCGTCCTCTAATGCACTAGAGAATTGCCAAACCAGGGAACTGAAATTTATTTTTCAATATTGGCAAATATTTCAATGAATGTCGCCACCATACAGTTAGGTAGTACTTAGGCGTGAGGGGCAAAGAGGTGTAAGTGGGCAGAGTTTAACACTGAATTCGTTTTTACCTTAGAGTGAGGAGTGAGGTATCTAGGTAGTGGTTTATAATCAATGTCAAAAGGTAACAACCAACTCTAGAGTTGGTTGTTACCTCTCAGGGCATAAGGTACCCTTTTTCGAGCTGAAAAATTCTATGTTCCCTTAAAAAATTAAGGGTACAGTGGAAAAGGCAACTAAGTCAAAAAACTATATTTTTCAGGAGAAAGAAAACAAAATTTAAAACGATAAAATTCCTATGCTTTTTTACATTTTTAACTAAATATTTTTACATATTTAGTTCGATATGCACTTTTTATAAACAGCTGGAATAATGTTATGATGGAATTATTATTTCGTTGTAGTTAGATATTTTTTATTTAAACAAAATGTGGACTGAGTTGGTTCCTCTACTGAATAGATCAAACAATTTTTATTTTTATTATTTTTTATTTCGTAAGGCATTTCTACTCTCACATTAAAAGAACAAACCAAGCTACAAACTACTGATTAAAGATAATCTGATTTTTAAAAATCGCTTTGATTGTCAGGAATATCTTCGGGCTCAGATAGTAACTCCCGCTGATTGGCAGAAAGAAGTTGGAGTACTCTTTAGACCCCTTTTCTTCACAGAATTTCAATAGAACTTTTAGATCAGCACACTTTTCTTTGGCCAAAGTTATAAGCGTTTGGTAGAAGTGATTGGATTTTTAAAGATCGGGTACCTTTGATTTTCTTGATCTTTTACTAGGGGCGGAGTGAAAGATCCATTATATGTTTCCCTGTGATCCTCAGTTTTGCATTTTGTTTCAAAAAACAACTGTTTCAGACGCCGAATAGGAAAAAATTCTTTTTGTAGAACTTGGAGGACAAATTGAATTCCACTCTTTAAACATAATTTGTTCATATGATACAACAACAAATAGATGTGGCTTGATTCGCGCGGCTTCTACAGCCTCTATTTGCACATATATATGGGGATCAATCCAATGTTTTTGTCGTGTTTCATGAAGGAATGACCGCCCAGTGGGTAAGTGATTGTGACAGTGTCAAATCTTTTTAGTTAGGACTGGAAGATAGTATGATTTTTGTTTTTTCCTCCGCAAGAGTCGGCAAACACATAAAGTTTTTTAACAGCAGGATTTAGGTAGATGTTAAAAAAATAATAAAGCATTGGGGCAACATCATCTGATCTCTTTTTGCGATGGTTTGATCGTACGTGTACATGATTAAAACATCATTTGACAAAACGTGAATATTAAAAATATAAAATGGCAGCTGTCTTCTAAAATACACTTCAGCAGAAGTTATATTCGGATTAGGGAAATTTTTTTGAAGTCCATAGCGACAGCCTCTACAGTTGATGACTTTCTAGCTTCAGTTTTTGCACGCCCTTTAAATTTTTAACACTCAGCCTTCTACAAATGGGTGTCTTTTAAAATTATAGCTTCCTGATTTCGTTCTCTAACTTCAATTTTTGGTCGTCGCCTTTTGAAACGACAATTTTCCTATCAAGCTTAATAATTTTGGCTTTCGGCTCGTCACACCAACGGCACGTAGGAGATGTTAAACTCCAACACAAATATCTTCTATTCTATTAGTTCGGCATTAAATCTTTTTAAATCTTTGGGTGGTCGCACACAGAAAGAGCAAAACTGTTTTACTAAAAAACGTTTTTGACTAAACGAATATAAATGAAATGAGCTGATGCACACTGATTAGTCGTGTGTCTAAAGCATGTTTAGGCTCATTTAGTTTCAGTCAGTCTGTTTGATGTTGATTACCGGATCGTCGTTTTGTGTCGAAACATTTCACTGTTCATTCAACTTGAAACCGTTCGACTAGTCAACAGATTGTCTTTTATTTTGCGTTTTTTCGTCCTGTAGGAGGAACCACTGCCAGAAAATTAGTGCAATTTCGTCGTTATCTGTCGAAATCTTTCTATAATAACTCTAATAAGACTCTGAGAATAGTGAATACTTCTTAACAATTTAACGAACAAGCTTGAATAAACCTGCCGAAACAACAACTAATAAACACAGCTACTATGACCTGCGTGAGAGTCATATCGCATTTTATGGACTGTGTAGGTTATTCCCATGTTTTATGTTGACTATTGGACTATGTTGGTTTTCCCTGTACGCTTCAAATGTAATTCTTTATTGTCGACATAGTGCCTTAATAATTATAATGCTAGTTACTCAAATTATGTAATTTAAGGGTCATATAACCTTATCATGAGGCTACTTCCAACTACTATATATGTTTTTCACTGATGATGATCTGATAGCATCGAGAACATTCTGAAAATTTATAAATCCATTTTGGATAATTTTTAAAAATCTCTGTATATAAAAGGCTAGAATGACAAGTCACGCTGTTTGTCCAGTAAGATAACTACGCCACTATCAACATTCGACATTTGAATCATATTTTGTTCTAGAAACGATACGGTGGATTTCTTGCTAATTCATTCTACAAAATGATGATTCAATAAATATTCTTAATCGGAAATTTTACTACTTCATAGTA